ACTGTCGGGCCAACGGAAATGGTGCCCTTGCCAGAAGTACAGATGATGATGCTGGGACCCTCAATGGGCTCAAAGGTAACCTTGGCCCCGTCGCCATTTAGCAGCGACCGGACGACGCTGAATTCCTCAATCGGCGGGTCGTACAAGATGACGGCAGAGCCAGAGCTGTAGGCGGCGCGGTTGAGGGTGGCGTAGGGGTACTCGGATGGAGACATCTTTTGCTCGTCAATAGGCGCGTAGTTGTAGGTGAGCATGTCGACGAGGGTGGGCACATCCTTGAACTTGGGGGTGAAGCCGGCGCGGACGACGTTGTCTGAGGCGGCCATGCATTCGATAATGTCGCCCGAGAGGTACGCGTGGATGTCGTCGGCGACAAGGAACATGGCCTCGCCGGGCTCCATCTTGACGTAGTTTAGGAAGAAGAGGACGAAGAGCCCAATGTCTGCGCCGAATTCGGCGTGGTTACGGAGGATCAGCTCCGAGAGGGTCTCGCCGTCTGTCGTGGCAACGCCGCCGCCGGCAAAATTGCTGCCTTCTGACTTGGCGAGGGCGACAAGCTTCTCCGTCTGCTTCTCAATCTCTTCGGGTGTGGCGGACAGAAGGGCGGCAAAGGCATGCTGCAGGGCCTTCTTATTCCGGTCCTTGGTCTCGGGGTTCTCGGTCTCCTCCTCACCCTTGACTGTATTGATGAATTCGTCGGCCTTGTCTTCGACGACCAGGCTCTTCAAGGGAGGAACCGTCGCGAGAAAGTGTGAGATCTCGGAAAGGGGTCGGAATCCGCAGAGACCCTCGAATGGGGTGATGGCGATAGCCATCTCGGGTTTGTGGTTGTCATCGGGGTAGTTCTTGGGGTCGCGAGCGTGCAGCTGTTCGGCAAGCTTCTTATTGGGGTGGGCCTGTATCGAGAGGGCCTTGTTGATGGAGAGGACCTTGAAGAGGAAAGGAAGCTTCGAGTCGTACTTGGAGGAGATAGGTGCGGAGAGAAGTTGCTGGTTGTCTTGGACGAGTTCGAGAAGGGTGCGACCAGACTGCAGGTCTTTTGAGGGGTTTGAGGGGTGGGTGCCCATCCAGAGCTGCAAATACCAGTTAGCAATGTGATTCTTGGGCTTAATACAGAAACAAGGTTGAGCTCACCTCTGCGTAAGGCTTCTCCGATTCAATGCTGAAGCCCTCAGCTGGCGTTGTCGCCGCAAAGCGCGCAGCTGCTGAGTCCCCTCCCTTCTTTCCCCATTCATAGGAGTTCACTCCGCATTGAAGCTTGAACAGAGGGACCTGTAGGACCATTGCGACTGAAGTGATGGAGCCAAATCAGCTCAAAGCAATTGAAAGAAGACGATGAACAAAGGTTCCAAGGGAGAGGAAAGACGCGACGACAATGGCGTACTAATAAAGTTGGGAGTGCGTATGCTCACCCCACCATTAGATTTGACGTCAGGGAGAGCTTCACTTGGGGGGACCCCGCAGAATGGAGCCAATACCTCCGGACCCCTCCAAACGATCATCCCGTGAGGTCGGAGCACGGGCCCCGGGCAAGTGGTCGGGCCGCATGGCGGAGGGCCGTTTGAGGAATCCCCGACTTGATTGGCTGTGGCTGGCCAAAAGTACGAGGTATCTTATCTATTGACCCACTTCGGCTGTATACAATGCCGCGGCGGATCGCAGCGGCACATTGGAGCAGTCGCGTTAATGAACCAATGAAGCTCTCAGCACTCCGCTTTCCTGCGCGTCACCCGATACCGCCCGTATTCTGCCATCAGCATCTCCATGATCCTTCCCCCATCTTCAAACACCTTGATTGCCATGGCATTCAGAGACCTGGCCAATTCAAAAGCTTAAATCATTGCCTTTTTTCTTTTTGGTCGCGTCATGGGCTAAGTTTTCTTGGTCGATTTCTTTTCTTGTTTCCTTACATAGCGTCTTTGCGCCTAGATACCCCAGCAACACCAGAGAGAAAGAGCTCAAGACAAGCTCTACCGAGCTTTGGAACTGAACGTGACCCCCGACCTGCCTGCGACAGCTGGCGGAGCAACAACCAAGTGAACGTTACGCTTTCCCTGTAAGTGCCTTCATGCTCGCCTTCCCTGCTTGCGCTTAGCTACCTTGCCTCCACCTACTTGTCTCAACTTCCTCCTCCCGCATTTCTATACTCTTCCTCTTCCACCTTATCATCTCTACACCCCAGTTATGCATCTCCATTGTCAGCTCAATCTGGAACTGATATCAACATGCCACAGAAACAAAACGCCGAAGCTGAGCACCCGCCTCGCAGTGGTCGGAGACGGAAACCTATCGCTGCCGAACCGAATCCCGGGAGCACATCCTCGAACATACCTACGAGTACATCTTCTGCCTCGGCTGCCCGAGACGAGTCCACCTAGAAGAAGCGCGACTCGCCCAAGGTCCAGCCCAGCCCTTTGGAATCATTGCAAGCCAAGATGTCTCAGCGAAACCGAAGCGGCCGCGGCTCAAACCGCAACAATGGCAGCGGCCATGGCGAAGAGGTGCAGCTATGGGAATCTGCGAAGGAAAAGTTCCACGAGGTTGTGAACGGTGTCAACCAAGAAAATGACAACTTGGCCGAGCTATTGAAGCTTGACAAGAAGGCAGCCATGGCCAGCATGGACGGTGGAAACCCATCAGGCAGCGATCTTAACAAGATGGAGCAGAACTGCCGTTCTGGTGTCAAGCTGTCGGAGAACAACTCGAACAACATCAAGAACCTCATTGAACAGCTTAAAATTCTCAAGGCTGTGCAGCAGGCCAAGGAAGCAGCAGAGGCTCCAGCGACAACCGGCGCTTCATCACGGACCGGCAGCTCGACCCGCAATCGGGACGCTGCCGCGGCAGCACTCTACGACTTTGACGGAGCCGGTGACTCTCCGGTGCCTAGCCCCATCGGCGGAAGCTCGCGCAAGTACGGCGACCGGGGTAGCAACCGCGACAGTATGCCTCCCAAGGCAGATAGTGTCGAGCCACAGGGTTCCACGGGCTCCAACACGGCAGGTTCATCGTCAGGCGCCTTGGGGTCAAGCGCTTCCTCTGCCGCTCGAAGCAAGATATCGTTCTCCAAAGGAGACAAGGTAGCGTTCAAACGGAAGAAAGATGAGCCGCAGCAGGGTGAGGCACCGTATGATTGGATACTAGGTGAGGTGGTCGGCGTCATTGGCGAAGGCAAGAGCCGGCGGTACAAGTGCTTGGATGTGGAGCCGGAGGACAACGTCAAGCCGAAGGAGTACAAGACCTTTGCGTCGGGCATGATACCGATCCCGGCGGAGAACCAGACACACAATCTCGCTAAGCTGGAGGGGGGCAGGATGGTCCTCGGGCTCTACCCACAGACAACGGCATTTTACGCAGCAGACGTTGTCGGCACGGAGCCGGACGGCAAGACGGTCAACCTCAAGTTTCATGGCGAAAACGACTCATCGACTACGCATCAGGTGGAGCGGCGCTACGTGCTGGAGTACCGGCCCTGAACCCAAGAGGACAAGGTCCCCGAGATGTAGATGTACCAGATGATCCAGATCTGGTGATGCGGAGAAGGAGAGGGCCAAACGCTCAAGTTGGGGAGTGCATGACGTTAGCGAAGTGTTAGCGAAGTGTTAGCGAGAGCCATGAGCGGGCGTTCGCTTAAAGTATTGAGTTGAGAGTGTGTGTATTGGCCGAGAGATCAACGGCCCGGACATGGGATATCTGGTGTGTCTATCGCCAGGTCTCATTAAACAAACAAAAGGGGACATGACATGGCGGGTCGAAACGGAACTTAACATGCTTACTATGCATCCAAGGCAGGGGTAGCAGCTAGCGGGTATCCGTACCAGTGACAGGCTGGCAGTATTAGTAGTACGGATAGAAATGACTATGAACGTTTGCATGCTTTGAGTCTCTGTGCTGTGCCGAGTGTATTACGTAAGATACAGACGAGTCATCTGTCGTTCGGTGGCTTTTGAGTCTGTCACTCGTGATATGCGACTCGGATGTTTACATGCACCGATATGCGAGGCAAGGAGACGCTGCAATCAAACTATCAGAGCCCTCAGAGGTTGGCTTCAGAATGTCAAATTTCGCCCCTGACTCCGGCATGGCACGTGCATAGATATTTTATTCGAATGCCGTGACTTGGCCATGGCAGATATGGAGTGAGGTGGTGGTGTACCACAGTATGTATCCGTACCTGCAGGTCGCTAAATACGCCTATTGGCTAGAGCAACAGCCATGATAACAAGGGGCTTGGGGTATGGAGGTATGTAGTCTCATCATGTCATTGACGGGAGAGATAGAAAGGTATCCCATTTTGTTGTTAGGAAAAGGAACGAATGGGGCTATGGATTGACTCGAGTTGAAGAGAGACACCAGATCGCAAGTCGAACAATCAGAGATGACAAGGGAAGAGAGGAGAGAGAGGCAACCTGAACACAGGGGGGAAAAAGAAGACCCCTTTGGGCCCTTGCTGTTTGGGATCCACCTCGAAAAAAGGTACACGAGCAGGCTGATTGGCTCCGGGGCGGCTTGCATGTCTCCGTTTGGACTGGAGATGTTCTGGTGTGGGAGCGGGAGCGGGTACGTACCTGCGTTTGAATCTCCGAGAATTGGTGTACTTTTTTATTCGTACCTTGCCAAAGATGGATAGGCCAGGGGGCAATATCCATGGAGGGAGACGCAGAGACTCAAAGAGAGAGACAAAGAGGAAGAGAGGGAAAGAGACAGGCCATCATGTTCCACAATAAAAAGCTTTGGAAAAGGTATGGAGTGATGGAGTCTGCGTTTGTTATTATTGACGATGACTGATGTGGATTACGGTTGAGAGAGTTGCTGGACGGAGTTGTCATGTCATGTGCAATGTGCATGCGCCCCGGAGCGAGCGCTGCATTGCTCGAGATTCAATATTTCCATCTAAACGTGATTGCGAATATCCATACATCCATACGGATTACTTCGTACAGATGCGGCCCCTCTCGCTTCAATTGGGCCCCCCCGCTTCGCTTCAGAGAGCGTTCAAGTTACGAACCCGAGGCAACTTTCAAGTGTTGAATTGCTGATGTAACTACCCATGGTGAGTGGGATGGTTCCATAGTAGACGATGAGGTGAGAAGTGTTTGATGGTCTGTGGTTCGGTCTGTGGTTCTGCCCGCCTGACCAGTCACTACCAACCAGCTGGTGGGCAAACGGTTGAAACGCATGAGAAGCCGAGCCGCATATGCCCATTGCCATTGCCCATGTCGTAGGGATTTCATACAATAGCCAAAGACGGCTCTTCGCTGGTTTCTGTCAGATAATTCGGAAAGGAGACAGGCTGTACGTACGCTCATGCCTCATATCTGGAGTCAGCAGCCAATATTCTGTAGCATGGCAGGTTGCAGGTATTCCCGTACCCATGAAGCACGGATGGTTTAAAGTATCTGTACTAAAGTATCTGACAAGAAGGTACCAACCTGACCTTACTGTGTACGTTTCCTTACATGAGTGAGTGCATTCACTTCGTTTCGGATGACGGCTAGCATTAATCACAGCCCAAATATAGCTGTCCATTGGCCCGTTTCGATACCGTCTTGGCGTCGTTGCTCCCTCCCTGCTTCTGCATCTGTCTCCCAGCCATCCTTCAGTGTTCACACACACACACACACACACACACACACACGTCTCGGTTCCTGTACGGTGTGGTGTACTCCAACGTCCCACGCAACGCCCGAGCGAACGAAAGGCTGCCCGGTCGCTACATAGTGGAAAGTGGAAAGTGCCCAACTCCATTCGACCCCCAACCTCCGATCCCCGACCAGGTAGTCAGGTACACCGCACAGCGCCTGCACCAACAACTATTACCACCACTGCCCAAAGTACCTTACTCCAGCAAGTCGCAAAGTTGCTCGTGTTTTTTTTTTGTGATAGCTTCTGCCATTCACCACACACTCCTTCTCTTCCGCAACTCTCCTTCGCTCAACCCCGGAACCTTCTCCCACCACCCCGACGACCGCTGCGTCTTGGGATTCAATTGCGCGCGACACTCTCCGAACCGTCAATCCCGCCCGTCGTCCCCCAAATTTTCGAGGCGAAGAAATCCAGAGTCAACGATCTATCATACGTTGCGACGACGTCCCCTTAAAGCCCGACACCGCACCACCGGTGGCCGCCCCTCCCACCCACGACAACAACAACACCGACCGACCGACTCGACCCCTACCGCCACGAAACCCACGATAACGATCCCCCGGCAGTCACAATGGGTGGTCAACTCTCAAAGATGATGGGCAAGATCTTCGGATCAAAGGAGATGCGCCTGCTGATGCTGGGTCTCGACGCCGCTGGCAAGACCACCATCCTCTACAAGCTCAAGCTCGGCCAGGACGTCACCACCATTCCCACCGTCGGCTTCAACGTCGAGACCGTCACCTACAAGAACGTCAAGTTCAACGTCTGGGACGTCGGTGGTCAGGACAAGATCCGTCCCCTCTGGAGACATTACTTTAGCGGTGAGTTCTTCCCGCCCTGTCTTCTCCTCTCCTCTATCATGCCCCTCCACCCTCCAAGGGTAGTCTGTTCTTTATGTGATTCAGTTGTGCTGACGATACCATTACCCTCGCACAGGAACTCAGGGTCTAATTTTCGTCATTGACTCGTCGGATCGCGCGAGAATCGAGGAGGCCAAGTCGGAATTGCACAGAATCATCAACGACCGCGAAATGAAGGACAGCTTGCTGCTGGTCTTTGCCAACAAGCAGGACGTCAACGGAGGTAAGTCTAAACAATCCGCACCCTCGAATCCAGCGGGTGGCCGTACTGCCCATCGGCTCGGGTTCTGTCCCGCTGGCCCTCTTCATCAGGACACGTTTGGAAGGCTGACCATGCGTGACTGCAATCACAGCCATGAAGCCGCAAGAAGTCACCGAGGCCCTGAACCTCTCAAAACTGAAAGACAAGGTCTGGTACGTTGTGCCCAGTTGCGCGACGACGGGCGAGGGCCTGCTCGAGGGCCTGGCCTGGCTGTCCAACAACGTCAAGGCACCGCCTGCCCCGGCCAAGAAGTAGATGACGAGATGACCGGCGAATGCCTCTCTCGAACACCAATCCGACTCTTTCACGATTCACCGACTCACCGATAACTCCAAGCCCACCGCCTGTCTACCCTAACTCGCCTTCCCCGATTCGTGTTCCCATCGAAAGAACGCGTACCGAGGCACTCAGCGATCCCGAACCGAGTTCGACGGGGGGGGGGGGGGGGGGCTTTTGACACGCCCCCCAAAACCCCCAAAAAACTCCCAACCCCCCCCCCCCCTCACCCCCCCCCCCCCCCCCCCCGTGCTCGCCCCACGAAGAAGGGCCCGCGAGCGCGCCCCCGCGCCAGCCGGGGGGGGGGGGGGGGGGGGGGGGGGGGACGTTCTAGATCCCCAACAAACGTCCAAGCACCCACCGCCGCCCGGGTAATGGATACAGGAAAAGATCTCTGCAAGGACGCGCTGCCAGGGACCTACCTCGAAAAACAGAGCGACTCATCCCTCATAATCCATTTTTCGGCAGCAAGGGAATTCCGCTAACCACGCCGAGACCTTTTCTTGTTCTACTTCTTTTACTAAACCAAACCTCTTGATGTAACGTCTTTTAACTACGCTGATATGGAGAAAGAGGCGGAGAGAAAGGGGGGAATAGGAGGAAGAGCCAAAAAGGAGGGACAAAGGGGCGGCTTTTCCAACATATCATCATACGTTTTTCTCTCTTCCCCTCGGGCTGCTGGCTTATACTCTTCTGTCGCCCCCCTTCCAACATTTTCGTTTCTCTGGTTTCTCTGTTCCAATGTTGTTCTGAAATACCCGAGCTTTAGAAGGTGAAAGAAAAGAACGTAGGGATTTTTTTTGGGGGGCGGGGCCTAAAAGGCAGGTAGTGAGTGTTCTTTCTCTCTTCCCTTTTTATTTTTTATTTTTGTGTTCTCTTATCTTCATAAGCTGTATTCAAATGATGTACAAGAAACTGTCCAAAAATGCCCGTCTGCGGTTCCCATCCTCGTCCATTTCATCCTTCCCGTGAAGCAGGTCTCCCTCGGCATTTGTGTGCCATAACCGTGAGGCATGTGGACTGTCTATGCGGTTCATACTAGCCCAGCCAGCTGGGCGAATCGGTCTTATTCGTCATTCATTATCATCATTCGTCAGGGGGCCCAAGGGAGGGAGGCTAAGCTTTTTCGCTCCCTCATCTCCTCCCCCACCCGCTTTGACATTGTGTCCAGCCGCACGAGGCTATTACCATCGTTGGCATCTCCGCCCGACATCTGTCTGGCGCCTCAGCCACGGTTCCTGCCGCTTGTATCGTGCAAGTCTTAGCCCCCGTGAGACGTGCTAGTCGGATTTTCTCCGAGGAAGTTCAGGGGGTGGGACAGGACGCTACCAGCACCCCGAGAACCCGGCCGACAGCCGGCCGGCTTCAGCGTATAGGTCAAGGTCTCGCTAGGTAAGAAAGAGAACGATTCGTCAGGTGAGTTACATCTTCCGCCACCATTGGGCCAACTCATCTGCCCACGAAGACACCGACGACGAAGGCGACGACCAACGCCCCGACGCCGGCTTTGCGGTTCATCGCGCCGGCGCCGGCGGCAGCGTTGTTCGCGGGCGCGACCATGATGGGTCTGTGCCAGCCGCAGTGGGTCGAGGTGCCTTGGGTCGCGCAGGAGTAGTACGTCGTCTGGTAGTATCCCATTTCGGCGAGGTTCGGCTCCGGACGGGGGGTCACGCCGGGGGCCGGGGGGATGAGGGAGGCGTAGTCTCGGGGGCCGGAGTCTGTGGGCGTTTCTACTGCTGCTGCTGCGGCGGCGGCGATGCCTGCGGCTGCGGTAGCTTCGGCGGGAATTGTGGTTTGAGGTGTGTTTGTTGGCTGCGGAGGGGACGATGGTAAGGAGGTTTGGTTGTGAGGTTTCTTGTGGAGGCGGGCTGGGCCTAGGCGGAGGGGTCGGCCTGATGCGCAGGGCGATGTGGAGTTGTGGTGCCCTGATGGGAAGGGGGAGGACGAGTTTGAGGGGGGGAATTTGGGGGTGAGAGTTGTGTAGATTGGTGATGGTGCTGGTGATTGTGATTGAGGCTGGTTCGGGTTCGGGCGTGGAGAGGCGGGGATGCCTGTTGGGAGGAGGGCTGCGCCGGTGGTGGGGAGGAAGGGCTGGATTGGAGGTGGTTGTGTGTCTGGTGAGGATGTTGATGTTGGTGGTGGGGTTGTGGGTGTTGCTGGTGTTGCCGGGAGGGCTGCTGTTGAAGTTGCGAGGAGGATGAGGCAGAGGATGAGATGGGAGAGGGGATGCATCGTGAGTTTCGTTGTTCCTGGATGTACTGGGTTTAGAAGGCGGATGGGATATTAGCAGGACGGGGGTTTGGGGTGAGTGAGACCGGCTCTCTTTTTGATATAAGTCTGGTAAGAAATGGACAGGAATTGCGCCTTGAGGCTATTCGGTGTTTAGGAAGTATGTGTAAGGTTGGAAGAGAATGTTGGAATGCTTAGTTGAACAATGGGTGGTTGAACATTGAAGTGTCAACGTCAATGAGACAAGGAAACAAGGCGTTGTAAATTTCGCCCGGCCACGTTTGTGCCTTTATCACTTTCTTCGTCATTGTGGTCACTGAGTTTGGGGGCGAGAAGCACCTGGAACATTTTGATTGACGGTGAGTCGTGACGCGGAAAGCCAAAAGAGTGGTGGATGGATGGTAGGTGGTGGTGGGTTGGATGTTTCTGTCCTGCGCTTGGTATGTGGGAGGAGTCACTGGGATTCGCGTTCCAGAGGATGGATGGATGAATTGGGGGGTGTGTGTGACTGGACTGAAGCGCGTTTGGCGATGTTGGTGGGGTGTCAGTCAGGCACCTTTTCCCCCGTGCCTTTTCTAGAAGGCGAATGGACAACTTTACGTGTTTCTTGTTTGGTGATTGCGTGGTATTGGTGGTTTGCGTGGTGTCTCGTCAGTTTTTTATTCGCGTGCATGTTTGAAGGTGTTGATGTTGGATGAAGAATGATTGGGTGGGAGGTCACTGCACGGTTTTTGGGGAGGGGAGGATTCGCTAGTGCGATGGGTTACTCTTCTTGCTCTATTGGAAGCGATTACTTTGGATTGGAGACGGCTCTAATGCAGCTACATGTAGCATCTGGGTCACTGTGGACGAACCGGTTCAGGATGGGTTGCTTGGGCAGGTGCCCGATATCTTGTCCGCCCGCTCAGGATGAGTACCTCTCCGAATACGGGACGGGAGAGTGGCCCCCACCGGCGACGGA